CCCTTTTGAGACTCAGTGGTTTCGTCATGAGATCACAAATCTAACACCACGGTTTGATAGACCTTGTGTGTTTTAAGAGCATGCCACAGCTTAGCAACCGTCTATGATAATAAGTGGAAATGTTTGATTACATTAAAGGAATCGGTGAAATTAGTTATGTTAGTGTATGACCTGCACCTATTGACACGTCGTTATATTGTTTTATATTGATATAATTAAATACTATTAAATACTTTTAAAAAAGACCGATAGTTGAATGAGGAAATGTAATTAAAAAGATTTTCAAAGAAATGTGCAATGTTCAACTCTCCCATCTCAACAAGTCTCCCGGACTTCCCCTACTCTTTTTCATGCGATGAATCAGATTCGGTAGAATATGGTGCAGATCTCTGTATAGATAGCCCTTCTGGAAGTTCCTTATTGGATATAGGATAAACATACCACTTCTTGCAACGTTTTATAAAAGAAGTAGTTGTATACTGAATTTCCTAGTATAAAATGTAGCTAAAACTAACATTTCCTATGTTACATAGCAACAGTACCCATCCATTTCTTTCTCAGTGTACAATTATACTGCAATGGAACCTTTTAGATATAATCAGAAAAAAATAGAAAGAATGTGCCTTCAGATTTTGTGAATGGTAAAACACTCTAACGTGGAGAATATGACTAGCAATCAACAGAAGATGGTGTTATCTCCGTAAAATGGATGAACGAAAAAGCAGTGTATCTTGTAAATAATTTTAATAATCCTGAAGATTTTAACAGAAAAAAGTAAAAATGAAACAACTGAACAGGTCAAGGACACTTCTATGCTCGCGAACGATTAATTAAAAAATTCGAAAAAGATTGTTAAAGGTGTATGTTTGGAACACGGCGCTGTACGGGTGAGAAACATGGACAGTGGGCGCGGCGGAAAAGAAAAGGTTAGAAGCATTGGAACTGTTGTGTTACAGGCGAATGATGAGGATACCGTGGGTAGAGAAGGTTAGAAATGAAGAGGTATTGGAAAGAATAGGAGAACAGAGGGCTCTACGGAAGTCAATGAGAAATAGGCGGGATAGGTTGGTAGGACACCTTCTCAGGCATGAAGGTCTAGTCAAAGACATATTAGAGGCAGAAACAGGAGTTAAGAAGAGTAGAGATAGGCAGAAACGGACGTTAGGAGGGGTAGAGGTAGACCTGTTACGCAAATAGGATTATGAATAGTTGCTAGTTTTGGGAAATGCGAAGATTAACTCAGGATAGGAAAGACTGGAGGTTCACTAATGTCTTAATAGGTGAACTTCCAATGCTAAGATTAGTAAATTAATAAATTAATCCTCAAAGGGCTGTCTGTCTGTCTCGAACTCCAAATTGGATTATTATGCTGCTGTAAATAATTGTTAATTTTAAAATATAAAATTGGATCAATCCCGTCCTTTTCTGTATCATCATCATCATAAGGTCGTCAGTCCTAAGACTGGTTGGACCTGCACCTTCACTTTTTCCCATCCTAAGCTAATCTTCGCATTTCCCCAAAAATAGAATCCACATCCTTAACTATTTACGAACAATAATCTCCTGTTTCTGTCTCTAATTTGTGTCTGACTAGACCTTCATGCCTAAGAAGGTGTCCTACCAACCTATCTCGTCTATTTCTCATTGACTTCCATAGAGTCCTCTGTTCTCCTATTCTTTCTAATACCTCTTCATTTCTAACCTTTTCTATCCACGGTATCCTCATCATTCGCCTGGAACACCACATTACGAACGCTTTTAACATTTTGTTTTCCACCGTGCTCACCGTCCATGTTTCGCATTCGTACAGTGCCGCACTCCAAAGAAATAAATAAACAATTTGAGACAAAAATATAACATCTTATTGATAATGTCTTATTAAAACCTAGCCTAATCTAATCACACCTTGAGCAAGACCGCTAGAAGCTAGGCGACAGCATAATTCTATTCAGACCTACCGTTTCCGATTCTAGATTAATGCATGTTTCTTGACATAATATACAGTCAAGTCCGAACGAGTAAAATAGAATTAGTAATACGTGGACGTCGAACACAGAAATTACATATTTCGTTGTCACCATTTTTTTTTATATTGAATAATTTAGTGAACGTCTGGATTATATTACATTTTATTTACATTCTGGAAGTAGAATTTTTCGCTAGTTCAATTTGACGTGTGCTGGTCATTGTCCGAGGGCCCCTGAGCTTAAGGGTCCCGTCTAGCCCTCCGGTAACTACGCTACTGTATATTACTTAATTATTTATATTAAAAATGAGTGAAGGTATTTATAGGAATGTTCTTATACTTACGTTGCCGTTTGCCT